TGATTTCTAAGCAAGGTTAGGCTTGGTTTGAAACAGATAAGATAAATGTATCTAATATAATACAAAAGTGTTCCGATCTGGTATCAAGGACTTGGCATGTGGTCCTTGGTGAACACCTGTTTTCTTTCAAATTCTTGAATGGCTTCCCATCTGGATCTGGAGTCCTGCCGCTCCTTTCCTCTAAGGCTGAGTCTTGACTTGATGTGACAGTTTTTTTTACAGCGTGCTTTTCTGTTTTGCTCTGTTCTCCCAAAAGTTCCCTCTCCTCCCCTTTTTTCCCCTACCTCTGCTTCTGTCCAGATATCTTAATCACAATTGCAAAGAAGGCAGAGGCTCGATTCTTCATGTTGCTTGCATTCTGTCTCGGAGCTTCAGCCTGGAGCGAGGTGTGAGAGCACAGTGTAAGGCAGCTAGCTCTGTGGATGAGGGTGATGAATGGAGGGGAAGTGATTTTCACAGTTAGGAGCTTAGCTCTCAGTTTTTGTGCTGCTTCTTACTCTTCCTTATGATGTGAAGTGTCCCAGGTTGGCAACATGCCGTGAACAAAGAAAACTGTATTCTATAGTCTCTTCAGATATGCTGTGACTTGGCAAGGGCTGAAAGCAAATCACCCACCTGCATAACCTTTTCAGCGTGACCAAGAATCAAGTCTCTCCCCTCCTCTCCCCCTTCCACAAGGCAACAGCTCCCAGACAGCACAAGCAACCCCTAATTAAGTCTTCCCTTGGCTCCCAACTTCTTTTCCTCCAAACTTTTCTTGGACTTAGATGTGTAATTAAGAGGAAAGTAGAGAAACAAAATCAGGTATACGATTTAGCTGGGGGTGTAGCTCAGTGGAGGAGCACTTGCCTAGCCTGGTGAGGTCCTGGTTTGAGCCCTAGCACAGAAATAAAAACAAAAGTAAACTGACGAAGGAATTAAGATGCTTTTGATGGAAAAACTGGTTACGATTACAGAGCATTTTCTCTGATGTTTTAAGTTTCTTGCATTTTTATCTTTTTGTCTCTGAACAAGATACAAATGTCTTTCAGTCCATAAAGTCATGCACTGCATAAAGACATTTTGGTCAAGGATGGGCCCCATATGCAGTGGTGGTTCCATAAGATTATATGGCCTAGTGATGCCGTAGCCATCTTAATTTGTGTAAGTGCACTCTGTAATGTTTGCACAATGATGGAATTGCCTAACTGTGCATTTCTCAAAACAAATCCCTGTTCTTAAACCACGCCCATATATGCAACTTTCTGTGCTTTAAGTAAATCAATGAACAGAGAGTCTAAAGATTTTATTGTACTCTTAGTGGTTTCACAACCCACCTCTTTCCCTAAAATTTAAGAACCACTAGTATTAGAAAAGAGAGAGTCTAAAGACAAAACTAGGAAGAATAGCCACATTTGTGAGCCATGAAGAGAAGGTGAGGCCTATAAAACAGAAAGATGGAAGCCACAGGCAGCATGTAATTAAGCTCATGCACTATGGAATCAGATGCATCTGAGCCCAGAGCCTGGTCTCCATTTATTAACTGTGCTAACTGGGTGATCTGGGGCAACTTACATCTCTAAGCCTCAGTTTTCTCAACTATAAAATGGGATAATAGCACTTATTCACATAGAGTTGTTGCAAGGATTGAGGTCATTCATGTAATTTGATTGTGTGTGCACATGTAGTTTGCAATTCCTGACCACTTTTTTTTTTTTTTTGGCGGCCCTAGGGTTTTGAACTTGGGACCTTGTGCTTGCTAGACAGGTGCTCTACCACTTGAGCCATGATCCTAGCCTTCCTGACAACTTTATACCTTCCTCTAGGCCAAATGCATGCTCTAGAAGGCTCTAAGTTCTGTCAATGCTGTCTTTTTTTTTTTTTTTCTGATTTCTTCAGAAAAATAATCTGTAGAGGTAGTGTCCTTGACTGAATACTTTCCTTCAGCTCTCCCAGGGCCTGTTAGATCAGGTTGAAAGCCAGCACATTTGCACTTTTCCACCAGGGAAGGGAGCATAAGCCAAGTGATCCAGTCTCCTCTGCGAATAAGAGACCAAATCAAACCTGGGAGGGGAGGTTCTGTCTTCTGCAGTGCCCCAGATAGCAGCAGCTTTAGGCAGCCTCATAGGCTGCCTCTGTGGTCTACTTCCTTTTGTAATTTGCACAATAGGCCAGAAGATGGGGCTCTTGACCCTGAAGTCAAGGGCCAGAGGCTCCATTTCCACATTTGAACAGGAGGAAAAGTCAGATGCACCAGAACTCCCAACAACCTCCTCTCCCTACCCTGACTACTTCTCTCATACCAAGGTGACTATCTTTCAGGGGAAGGCACATTATCCTTTTGTCAACCACCCTTGGTCCCTCTTGAATTACTATGTTGCTAGGGTCAGTCTAACTGCCCCTTGCCTCAGGTTTGTCTTTTCAATCCATCCTACCCTATTGACAGATTTCAGAGATAGCCTCATTTTCACAGTACAGTGTAGCATAGTGGCCAAGAACTCCAGAGTCAGGTAGACTTGCCCTGACTCATCTCACTGGGGAAGCTATCTTCACTTCCTCAGAGAAGCTCTGCCCATCACCTCAATCATGGAACTTCACAGTAGCTCTCATAACTTGTAGTGGTCTTGTTTGCTTATTTGATTACTGTCTCCTTACTAAATTATAAGATCAGGGGACAGAGGGGGGGACATAAGTTTGTCTTTTTGCCATTTCCCCAACCCTCCAAAAGAGGGGTGGATATATAGGGTCTCAGTAAAGGTGTTCCAAATTAATAAATGAATGATTGAACCCCAGCTTAAGGACTGCCTGGATTTGAGAAAGTTGCTTAATTTCTCTGAGCCTCAGTTTTCTTACTAGTGAATTGGAAAAATAACGACTCTTGCATTAAATAACACAATGCATTTATACCACCAGGTCCTGGTGCATGGAAGTGTTACCCAAACTCTTCAGCAGTCCTACTTTTTATCATATAAGACAAACAAAGTCTGAATTTGTTAGCCAGCTTGCCACAGTTTGATCACAACTTTTTCTATCCATCTTTTACTTCCTACTGCTCTTTTCAAGAAGTTTCTGCTTTGGCCCAATTGTGGCGACCCTGAATGAGTAATCAGTCTTTACCCAAGATTTAGATCCTTGCTTTCTTTACTTTGGCTAAGTTAAATCTCACCCATATTTTCAGACGTAGCTCAAACTCAGGTCCTCTGTTTCACCTTCTTGAAGTGTCCCAAATCATAAAGATCATTTCTCTTCTGAATTTTTGTAATATTTGCTCCCCAACTACATCTTCCCTTTGGCAACCATCCTTGGAAGGAAGGTTTCTTGGAAGAGGTGGCCTTTGATCTATATTACTTACATGGCTCCTTTTCTACATGTTAACATATTTCCATGATTAGACTATTAAATTCCTTGGAGATATATTTCAGATTTCTTTCTATCTTTGGTGTTACTTGAGACTAAACATAGTAGATGTTCATTACATTTTTTAATTAGATTGAATTAAGAGTATAAATATTTGCTAACTACTTTCTAGATGTCCAGCATTTTTTTCTTTTCTTTGTTTTTGGCAGTTCTGGCCTCTACCACTTGAGCCACTCCATCAGCCATTTTTTTGTATTGAGTATTTTCAAGATAGGGGCTTGCAAGCTATTTGCCCGGGCTGGCTTCTAACTGCGATCCTCCTGATCTCTGCCTCCTGAATGGTTAGTACAGTAGGCATAAGCCACCAGTGCCCAGATCTATATGTCCAGTTCTGTGGAGTAACAGAAGGGCATAAGAAAAACAATCAATGCCTTCAAAGAACTTGCAGTGTTGTAGTAAGCTAAAGTCAACATATAAATAAAAGTGTTAAATAACTACAGCTTTAACTGCTGTGAGAAAGGTAGGAAGTGAGGCTTCTGAAGCAGGACACCAAATATGTTAGGGTGTTGGGGAAAATGGAATAAAGGAGATCAACTTTGAAGGATGGTTAACATTTTGATGGGGGTGAGGGGTGTGTGTGAGCTATATATTCGAAGGACAAGAGATGGACAGAGAGTGTGGATATAACATTAAAGCTCAAACTGGGCAAGGAACTTATATAGAATATCAGAAATATGGTTCTTTTTCAGGGACACTGAAATTGTTTCCAGCTTCAGGGACAATGCAAGGGATCATATGTAAAGGTTGAAACTTTAATATGTACTGGACTATGTTCCCCAAGCGTAGCAGCTCCTTTGGAGGCTGAGAATCATTGTAATGATTCTTTTTCCCCCTAATGATGTGGACTCAACTAGTCTCCTGTGACAGTGCATATGAAACAAAAGACCCCTTTTCTCCCTTGGGGATAGAGGATTGGTTAGATTTTAGCCAGGCTCTTTTCTTTCAAATCCAAATCAAATTGAATGAATTACTCATCATTTTCTAACCTTGCCTCATCTCTGCTAGTTCTGTTATTAAATAATAATTTGTCTTAGATAATTTCTTGGAAAAGTGGAAAGTTCTTGTGTGTGTGTGTGTGTGTGTGTGTGTGTGTGTGTGTGTAATTACCTCAACTCTGTGATTTCTGCTATCCTCCCGAGATTCAGGGAGAAGACCTAAGTCCAGAGAGCCTGTAGAGGGGCCTGCCTGCTTTCTTTATTGTTCGTCAATCTTAGCACTAGCTCAGGGATTAATAATTAATTTTAGAAAGCCTTCTTCCCGCATGTCAATTATTTCTTCCTGCAATCCTGAGGGACATTTCTTCAGAATTTAAAAACCATCTCCCAAGGAGTAAAATCAAATAGGCAAAACCGACACTTCCCCGGTTTTCAAGAGTCAGGAGCAAGCTGCAAACAGAAGCAGAGCTTTTCAATTTCTAGAGAGCAGTTGGAAGGACCTTGGAGCCCAGAGGCCACTGAAGGGAGGGAGACGGTTTCCACGGCAACTGAGCCCGGGAGCGGTTGGTTCCCCAGCTCCTTCTCCTCCTCCCTCTGGTAGCCCAGGGTACCGCCGGACAGCGTCCTCCCGTGCTCCGCGCTCTGATTGGCTGCACAGGCCGCTCGTTGATTGGCTGCGGCGGGCGCCTCGCGGGCCGGCGGCTATGGAGGCGAAGGTGGTTGATGGTTGACCGCTGGTTCCAGGGTAGGGGGTCTCCGCGCGTGTGGTCCGCTCACACCCTACGGGAGGGCGCGGGCTGCTGACGCTCGGCTTGGAACCCGCCGGGGAGACCTAGTTCTGCTCCACCATGCCAGCCGGGAGTAACTCGGACGGCGTCCTCAGCTATCAGGTAGGGCCCCGCCTCCCGTCCCTCCCCGGGGCTCAGCCTCCCCATCCTCTGCTCACCCTCCTTCCTTCTGCCCCCCACCCGGGCTTAGCAGGCCACTCCCTGAGGGTGAGGGGAGGCCAGCCTGGGACACCAGGGGGCGCTCCGGGCGGTCGGGGATCCGGTCGGAGCTGAGGGAGGGTGACCTTGGGCTGAACCTGGGAGCTGGCCCATCATTGCCGCATCCCTTGCGTCGCCGAGAAGTCCTGACTACCGGCGGGCGGTGACCTCTGTCCTCCGGGCCTCCCTGGTGGGAGACGCCGGCGTCTGACCTCGCTTTGTCCTCCTGGAACGTGAGCGAAAGAGTAGTCAAGGACCTTGCTCTGGTCTTTGTGTTTTTATTTCTTGTTCCTTGGTGCCTCAGAGGAAAAGCTAGAAAGACTGGAGGCTGGGAACAGTCCCCATTAGTGTGGCCAGCTTTGTGACTCCCACCCCCATTCATTGAACATTCGACAAGTTCTTGGTGGGGAAGCACGTCTGGACTGGGGAAGTGTTGAGAGGTTAGGAACAGGCGATTACTTAAGAGGGGGAAAAAAGCTAGATTTAAGCAATTGATAATAGACCTGCAGGGGTGGCTAATGTACCAATGCGTTGGACTACATGTTAGAGTCCATAGGTTCAAATCCCATTGGCTCTGTCACCTTGTGTAAGTTGCTGGTTTCTTTGAACCTCATTTCCCCAAGTGGAAAAGCTAATATTTCCCATGACTTACTTCTCTGGGTGGTTTTGAGGATCAGTTGTGCTATTTGCAGAGGGCCTTGTGAAACAAGATTTATTGTGCGATAGATAACCAGTAAGTGAGTGGTAGTCATCGAGTTTTCATTCCCCCTTTCTTGTGCAATCACATGGTATGGTTACTGTCCTAGAAAGAAGGCTTGCAGGGGAAAGGCAGAGGAGGACTGTGAAGAGGGTGAAGGATGACAAATCTTGGAAGCAAAAGCCTTGTTGACATCATTGATGGCTCTGGGAAGAGGCAGGGAAAATATCCTCAGTTTGTAGCAAAATGGGTATCAGCCACTGACTCTCTCCTCTTCTTTCTGGCAATAGTGTTACTAGAAGATTCATAATTCCTTCTTTGCTTGCTCAGTCAAAAAAGGACTATGAGATTTTGGGGGAAATCCTTCCATACCTAATCTTAAGGCTGGCTGTGTGAATTCAACCTCTGTCTGAGATACAATGGTGAACAAAAAATAGGCAATGGTTTTACCTTCCTGAAGCTTACCATCTAGTGGGAAAGGGGACGAAGTAACTTTTTTTTTTTCTTTTTGTGGTGCCGGGAATGAACTCAGCCTTACACATGCTAGGTAAGTGCTTTACCACTGGGCCACATCCCAGACCAAAGTGACCATTTTTGATAAAATAATCACACAAAATACATTTGGAAGGCACATGAGACAGGAGGACTGAGAATTTAAGGCTAGACTGACTGCATAGAAAGACCCTATCTAAAAAAAAAAGTCACAAAAAATAAATGTGTTAATATAAATTGTGATAAGTGCTTTGAAAGAATTTTAGGTAGTCCTATGAGTGTATAAACTATCAGCAGATTTTTCTGAAGAAGGAAGTTTGAACAAAGATCTAAGAATGAATATCAACTGAGGAAAGAAGAAGATCCACAGGACTTGAAAACAAAGACAACAGCATATGCTAAAGTCCTGTGGAGTAGAGGGACACAGCCTAAAAGAAGGCCAATGTGGTAGAGCCATAAGGAGCAGTAAGGGGAATGGTGAGAGAGATATTCCAGAGTTGTAATATACTGGGCCATTATAACCCCTGTTGAGGATGTTAGTATTTATCTGAGGAGCAAGGGGTTGCCACTGGAGGAGAAGGTGAGGCAGTAGAGAGAAGGTTCAAGAGAGGACAAATGAGATCATGATTAGATTTTCCTATTTTGAAAGATTTCTCTAGCTGCAGCAAGAACAGGCTGAAACGAATGTAAGGAGACAGTGCCCTCAATGTACAGAATGTGTACTGTTACGGAGAGCATAGTAACCCTTAGGTTTACGTTAATGTTGTGTGAAATTGATGATTCCCAAGTGCTTCTGGGGGTAGGACAGAAAACAATGACCTCCTTTGCATTTAGTTTGTGACCCTTTCATGGGTGGTGGAGTGAGGAGGGAAAATGGAAGAGTGGCAAAAACAGGACCACATGAAGGTTGGAGTCAGGCAAATGGGAACTTGAGGTATAGGCAAGAAAAGAGAATGAAGGTAGGAGAAGGAAAGGAAATGGGGATGACTTGGTGCAGACACACTCAACCAACTGACAGTTATCACTTAAGCCTCCAGTATGCCAGCTAGGCTGTATTCAGGGGAGATGAGCCTTGCAAAGTGAGTAGATCGTGTGTAAACGGAGCGGTTCCAGACATCACATCTGCATATCATAAGACTATGCTGTTTTCCCTGGTGTGGACTAGTGGACTACTGCCCTGCCTTTCTACCTGTACCATCTGCTTGCTTTCTTGCCCTTCTGCAATCCACTCTCCACACAGCAACCAGAGAGAACTTTTAAAAACACAAGTCAGATCATGTCATATCACATTTGAAACCCTTCAGTGCCTTCCCAATGCTTTTGATCTCTTCCTCCTTTTTTTTTTTTGAGACAGGGTATCAAAAAACCTGGGCTGGCCTCTTAATATCACAAATAATTTATCTGAAGTGTCGTTGTTTTGATTTCTTATTTATTCTCAAATAGAAGCCGCATGAGGGCAGGAATCAGGTTGAAAATCTTGTCATCTAGCACAGTGCATGATATACAGTTGGTGCTCAATTGCATGAGTAAATGAATGACTCTCCCGTATCCAAAGCTGAGATGCTTTTCCTTAAGGAACTCATAGTCTAGTCAGAATTAGCACAGACCAACAGGTGGCCATTATTGGATCACACACACCTCTCCTTTGCTCAGGTTCTCAAACTGAAAAATCTTTCCCTCTTCTCCATTTAGAAAATTCCATTCTGACCTTCAGGGTCTGGCTCCTTAGCACTCTGTCAGAATTTGCCATTCAGTCTCCTCTGCTCACAGCACCTACCAAGTGCTGTCACTTCTACCCCTACTTATGGAATATATATGTGGTCATCTCTACTGTTCACCTGAAAGCTCTCTTTGTGATTTTTTTTGTTAACTTTTATTGAGTGCTTGCCATGTTCCAAGAGCTGGGCTAGATGTTTTACTATTGCATTTCTTCTTCTTCTTCTTCTTCTTTTTTTTTTAATGGTGTTGGGGATCAAACCCAGAGCCTCTCCAATGCTAGGCAAGTGACTTACCACTGAGCTACATCTTCCATCCCCATTATCACATTTAATTCTTTCTCTAACTCTGAGAATTCTGTACCTTTGTTATTCCCATTTTCCAAATGAGGAAACTGAGATGTAAAGCGGTCAGAACTGCCCATGGCTCTGCCAAATCCAGGGCTGCCTTTTTCCAAAACTCACTGTACTTACTGCAGCCTGTGACTTTGACATCTAGATCAGTTCCTGGCTGTGAGTGAGCACTTAAGTATGTGTGGCAAAATGTACAAAGGATGTACTAGAATGGGGCTGAGATTGGAATGAGGGAGGCCAGCTAGGAGGCTGTTGCTGTCATTTTAGTTTGAGTTAATGAAGGTCTGCATTCTTCTTCTTCTTCTTTTTTTTTTTTTTTTTTTGTGATGGGTTTTTTTGATATAGGATCTTGCAAACTGTTTGCCCTGGCTGGCTTCAAACCTTGACGCTCCTGATTTCTGCCTCCTGAGTAGCTAGAATTACAGGTGTGAGCAACTGGCACCCGGCTGCATTATTCATTTTGATGAGCTTTCTGGAGGAGTTACTGAAATTTTAAGAATTGATAAGCTCTTAAAGGGGGTAGTAATAGAGGAAGATCAGACAGCTTTAGGGAAAGCCCTTATTTTGAACTGGAACTGGGGACATCTTATAGCTTCACAGTTCTCCTGATAAGCACTTTCAGAACTGACCAGAAGGAAGTGCTGAAAGAGGAAGCTGGAGAGGCTGGAATCCTCAGCATTTGAGCCAAGTAGTGCTGTATGGGGTGGAAGGTGCGAATCAAGTGGATTTGGGCAATTTCCAGGGTTGTATGTGGATCAGGCCTGCTTTGGATGGAACATTTTACAGGAATCTTCCGAATACCAAACCTGGTGAGTGATATTGAGAAGAATGGCCAATGGGAAGTGAGTCACACACTATCTCTTATGGTGAACCTCAGAAAACCCCAAGAGTTCCAGAAGGAGCCTTGAATTCTACTGCCCAATCAGTCTGGCACATGTTGGTGCTCAGTAAATATTTGCTGAGCAAATGAATGAATGGCTTTGTAGTGAGTAGGTCAACTTTTCGGAGGGTCATGGTCAGTTTATGGTAACCAGTCAGTAAATATTTGCTCCATGTTGCTGGACAAAAGTGTCAACCCTTCAAAGTGGTTTCTCTGCTCACCACATTGCAATGTACAATCCATGCCCCTCTACCCTCTCAACACACACTAGCTGGTATGTGAGAATTGGGAACCTGTGGGTATTCTCTACCTGGCTTTGCCAGCTCTGCTGGGGAGCTTCAGGAGAAGAGATGTGGGCTGACTTGCCAAGCAGAGCATTCAGCAGAGAGCTGGGTGCAATTCAGGCTGCAAATTTACTTCCTTCAAAACCTATAGATAATTATCTTAGCTCAAGGTTTGCTTTGGCAGAGTAGACAGAGCTCACAGTAGTAATAAGGACAAAGAAAAGCAACTGTGTTTGTTCTGGATTTGCTGCTAGGTTACAGCAACAAATCTTTGATAATGGGGAGGTTGGTTGTTTCTCCTAAGGTAGTAACAAAGGGAGACATAACATATGTATCATTATTAGCTTCCTATTGCTACCATAGCAAATTACTGCAAATGTGGTGGTTTAAAGAACATAAATTTATCATTTTACAGTTCTGTAAGTCAGAAGTCTAACACAAGTGTCACTGTACTAAAATCAAAGTGTGTTTATTTGTAGAAG